CAAAACCCTATTTTTATAATCTTCATCAGTGATTTCATTAATTTTATCATTAATCCATTCAGAAAATATTTCAAAATATTTCAATTGATTATTCAATGAATTAATAATAGTTATAGAATTTCTAATAAGTTTAGAGAAATATTCCCTTAATGATATTATATCATAGAAATCGGTATCAGTTTTCATATATCCATTCAAATAACCATCCGTTCTCTCCAGATATATCATAAACCTTTCACAACTTGGTATTATAGCTAATGTCAATATCTTTACTATTTTTTCAAACATATCCATTCCTAATTTCCTCCATTTTTTACCATTTCTATCACCAATAATATTTACTAACCAATCTTTAAATTCATTATTAATTTCACCTGTCAATAGCAGCGATTCTAATTCATCATTCAGCTTTGTCATTCCTCCTGCATATGCATCAATACAAATTTTTTTAACAAAGTCAGAATAAGGAATGATTAATTCTCTTTTGATCAAATCCAGGTGATCATTGACATACCTATTCAAATTTCTTATTTCCAAAATGTTACTCAATAGCCCATTGCTGACATTACAGGAAAGCAAATTGTTAAAATTGATTTTTCTGTAGTGACCATTTTTATAAAATGACATGTATTCACCATTGTGTAATTTTAACAATTGATAAACTTCTGATTTAGAAATATCCGGCATTACTATACCATTAATTTCATATACACCATTTAGTATAATTGTAAAATTATCTTCATTGGGATTATGCTGTATATGAACATCTAATAGATTCCTAAAATCAATTTCTTTATCTGTATCTTGAGATTCTTTATCAACATGTCTCCATGAATGATTTGGCGGATAATAATCAATGATATTAATATTCCTAGAATCCTTAACAAACTTGATTAGGGTAGGCAAACATTCTATGATATTAGAATCAAACAATTGTAGCTTAGAAGGGATTGAAAACTCTGCTCGATCCCATAAGCATGAATCCACATTTTTTTGTGAGCTACTTCGAATGTATGATACTAATCTACCGTTTTTAAAGATATCATAAATCCTGATCGTACCATCAGTGAGGAACACTGAAATAAATCTACCACTGTAATTATCCCACTCATAGCCTGCTACAGTGTCAAAATCTTTAATAAATATATGTGCCAATTGTGATGAATCCTTTATCCTGTACACCGCTAAACCTTGATCTGATCTTGTGACATACAATTGGAAACAGGGATTGTACTTGGAATAGTACAACCGTATACCAGAATCAATAACCATTTAACTACCTAATACCTTGATACCAATCCTATTCTAACCTATGTTTAAAATCTATCTTCAATTCTGTTTTATATATTTAAGGTCAACGATGTTTAAAACCATCTCATCGAATTTTTTTCACCTTTATTATATAAACGATTTCGAAAGATTTGATACTATAGTTAACAATGATGATTAATAATACATTAAGAACGATTGGTAATGAATAAAGAGCATTCAAGCACAATTGAAAGGGACTACATTTTGTAGAGGAGTTACAGTTCTGTTGCGATTTTGAATTTTTGGTTAATCATGTTTAAAAAGACTCCTCATATCAAATCGTTAAGTAATTTAAAGAATTCTGAAAGAAAGAAATTATTACAATCATGTAAGGCACAAACAGGGTCTACTGATTATAATTTCCCAACATCTGTTATTAAACAGACGAATTTCAATGCCCAAACATCGGTCGGTGTGATCTACACTGATGAAGAAGGCTCTCCATTATGGTTTAAAGAGAAACATAGCGAATTACTGTTTCCTACAGTTTATACTTGTTGGGAAGACCCAACTTTATTACCAATTGTCTTAACTCATGATATTGTGATCAATGAACATATCTTTAATGGTGCCAATTTAATGATTTCAGGTACACTTCCACCTTTTGATAGTCGTTTAGTACCTGCCACTATTTGTGGGATAGCTACTAGGAATAATCCAAATACAATTGTTGCAGTTGGTGTAGTCCAATTGGATATGCCAAGTTATAGTTCAGTTATTGGCAAAACTGGTGTTGCTGTGAATGTGTTACATTACTGGGGGGATGGTATGTCCGTTGCTTTTAAGATGAAAAGAGATATCCCAACTATTGTTGGCGGGAAAGATAAATCTGTAGATGCTACTGAGAACGATCAAAGTCCAGTGATAATCACAGAAGAAGAAAAAACTGAAGATGACTCCATACCAGAAATTTCCAGTAATGATGTTTCAGAATTAGCTCAAGAGGAGAGTGCATTAACCGTGGAAGATATAGACCATTTTATCACTAGATCATTATATTACACATTGACAAATGATTTAAAGTTAGCATTTCCTATACCTTCATCAAGTTTTATCTCCAATCACATAATGCGTAACTTACCACCAGTAGATCATAATTTGGTGAATATTAAGAAGACATCATGGAAGAAATCAAGTAAATTCTTAAAACATTTTGAGAAAGAGGGATTCATCAAGTTGAAAGGTAAAGGAGAAGATCTAACGATTGTTGGAAGCAATAAAGAGAAAGAAGAATTGAAAAAATTTGAACCATATAGAATCAGCAATTCTTCTTCAAACAGCGGTAAAAAAATCAACTCTAATAGACAAGAATCAGAAAATATGATGTATTCATTAGTATTCTATTCTCCAAAGGGTTCAGCAAAACAATTTATGACGTTGACCGAACTACCGTACAAAAATTGGTATACTGCCATCGAGTTAAAGAATGCAGTAACCGAATACATCAAAAAAAAGGAATTGGTTGACAAGAAAAATCCAAAGATGGCGAACCTTGACGATAGACTATATGATATGTGCTATACCAAGAAGAGCACAAACCCACCACGCCATATTACCAGAGCTGCAGTTATTGAATCTTTCACCACAAATAATTTCACAGAATTATACCAATTATTCAAAAATGACGACACACCATTAACCAAGAACCCAGTGAGAGGTAGTCCACCAAGAATCAAGATAGTCACTGAAATGAAGATAGGGAGAAAGATAGTAACCCGTGTGTCTAATTTTGAAAGTTTTGGAATAGATGCTGACGCTTTGGCAGGAGATCTAAGACGTTTATGTAGTGGTTCCACAACTATCGGAGAAACAACAACGTCACCAAAGACAACGGAAGTACAAGTACAAGGACCACATAGCAAAATAATAATCGATCATTTGAACTCACTTTCAATCCCAACGAAATGGATAGATTTTGAAAATAAATTGAAACCTAAAAAAATACGTAATTGATTCCAATTTCAAATCCGATAGACTAATATAGCAATACTTCGATTAAATAGATAATAAACACCCCTACATTAACTAAATATCTCCATGTAAACTCGACGATAATGCATTCAGAACTCTTATAACCTCGTTCAATCATCATCTTTATTCTTTGGTTAACTGTCTGTTCGATGTCTTGTGGACCTTAACTATTTGAAATTGTGAAATATCAACGGCGCTATCAGGAATGATATTTTTTTCACGTTTCTCTGTAAAATCTGGTTGAAAAATTGTATATTAAAATCTACTTAAAGCAAGGTTCGAAATCATTCAATATATGAACATTTATTGAATTGAATTGGTTCTAAAAAGTAGTTATCAAGGTTACCATTGGTGAATTTCAGGTGGCCATCGAAGGTTATATTTTATTGAGATGCTATCTAGATCTTTTGGTATTTTATCGCGTAGATGCGAGTACCATTCAGGCAGGGTTCTATTAGCTGAAGCTGTGGCTGCTAGTGAAACTGCTTCTGCAAAACCAGTTTCTAAATCTGTTAAAGATAAACTGAAAAGAAGGGAGTTACGTAGACATTCTAAACGTAAGGCAGATGCCAGAAAACCTGCTTCTAGTTATCCATTGTACATGCCAATTTCTCAAGCTTTGAGATATTTGAGAGCAGCTGAAGTTGGCCAACCAATCTCTCAACAGATAATTACAATAACTACTGATGTAGTATCAGAAAGGGGAAATTTGAATTTGAATGGTAATATCTCTTATAATACTCCTATCAAAGATGTTAAGATTGCAGTTTTCAGCAATGATCCTGAAAAATTGGCCAAGATCAAAGAGGAACACAATTGTCATTTAATAGGTGGTACTGATCTTGTGGAAAAGATCAAATCTGGAAAACAGCCTGTAGATTTTGATAAGGCTTTCGCAACTCCAGATATATCACCTATGTTGACATCTCAACTAGCTAGAGTTTTAGGTCCCCGTGGTGTTTTGCCAACAATCAAGAAAGGTACTGTATCAGAAGATGTTTCATCTCTAATTAAAGGTAGTATAGGTTTGATGCCATTTAGACAAACAGGTAATAGCATCAGTGTTTCTGTTGGTAGATGTAACTTCTCTGACAAGCAAATTCTGGAAAATATTATCGCTGTTAGATCAGCATATAATACTACATTAAGTAGTCAAAAATCTAAAAAACCAAGTTTGTTAGGTAAAACAACTATCACCTCAACTCATGGGCCCGGTATCACAATTGACTTTGCCTAAATAAACTAAATTACATTTTATGTATATATTGTATCTCGTGTATATAGAATATTAATAAAGATTCTTACAAATTTACTTATTGCAAGAATGATGCATATCGATAGGTAATCTCGATAGGGTTGGTGTCGTCAAATACATAACTGTTTTTCAATGATCTCCTGTATAACCTATTTATTCTACGGTTATCTTTTGTATCTTCCAAGATATTCATGATTATTTTTTCATGTGAAAGTGAAATTGCTGGGGATGACAAACTCAATAATTTCCAAATATAATCTACTTTTTTATTGAAAAGATTCTTGATTCTACATGCAGGGATATCACAACCGATTGGTTTTAAAGGCACCTCTACAATTGGCACCATGTTCTTATTTACCTCTGAAATTGTAGTGTGTCTTTTCAAGAAAAATATCTGTTTGAAGATATCATTGTAAATAGACACTCTCTGTTCATCAGTCAGTTTATATTGATCTACGGAATTAAACCATTTATTATTAATTTGAGATTTGTAAAAATTAAAGAATCTATCATCATTATTAAGACACAGGTAAATTAATGAACCCGTTCCAGGTCGAGCCATATTTAACACGTCGGAATGAAATTCATAAGGCCAATGATGCAAAAGCTCCATATAATGATTCTTGAACTTTTCTAAATGATTCGGAAATTTATCATTATTCCATACTATATGTGTCTTTTTGACTATCTTTTCTAAAGCTCTAGATTCATTTTCAACCTTTGAATTGATTTTAGAAATTTCATATTCATTCAGTATGCCAACATATTCTTCCATAAAGGGCAAATCAGCTACATGTATTCGTCTCTCCAAAATGTCAAGCGTTGGTTTGTGTAAAGGTAACCTTTCCAATGATTCCAATAGTATTGGTTTCAATCTCTTTCCCAGGTCTTTGACAGAAGTCATATCTATAAAGAACGGCTAATATGAGGTGTTAATTAATCAGCATAATAGACCTGGTATTCTAAAAGTACGGGTGATCGAGGTAATGACCATTGAACTATTAATTGATCATTTATATTTCATCTCACATCAATTAATCTTAGACTGAACATATTCTTGATTCATTGAATGATTCGATGAGCTTCGATATCATCGCTTTCTTATTAGCAACTGCTACGTATGCTATGATACATATTGACAATAACCAAGTTACAACAACCATTGGTATACCAATGGTTGTGTACAAATCACACTTGGGATTAGTATATCAACAATCCTCAATTATCAATTACAACAATGATAAATAACCCATATTTTCTGTATGGGATTCCAGTCATGTTGGTAATCTTAAATTAAGACGTGACAGCGAGCCAACTTCCCTGGGAAACAATCTTGAAACCTTATAAATATGTTTTTGTCAATGATCGAGGAAACAAACAAATCAGAAGTAGTATCGAGTATCAATGTATTGTATATGACCCTCCAGAATGACAAAACTGTTCTTATAGACCAGTATAAAGTTCCAATATCAACATTTTTATTTCTTCCACATTTTGGTAGCGAGAGTCCACATTGTACAAGAATGATAGTGAAATACTACACTTTGAAACCATTGTTCTCTCTGATCAGATGTCAGTAATTTATAACTATCCCAATGTGATATATTTTCAATTCCTTCCATAACCCCCCCCCTTCCCAGAATAATCCTCGTATCTTCATGTTTTATACCCTTTTAAATTGCAAATTTGAATCAGTCGCTACCTCTAACCAGATAAGCATAAACCTTGAGTTTCCCATTCAGCAGCTTCACAACAAAGACAAAAAGTACATTACATCATTAAAATAGTACAATATAATACCGCATTCTCACAAGAATCTACTTTATAAAGTAAAATATCGATCGATATCAAAAGCCATTATTCATGACAACAATTATTACCAAATGACTCATTTAAAAGGCCTCCAATAACAATAAATAAAACTTCCTATTGAGTACAAACAACTGATAAACCTCAAACCGATCAGAAATGATCAGAACTAACACAGATCATTCAAACTATACCATTTTACTGTTTCCATTGACCTCTTCTCGTTATAATTTGCAGTTCAGGCAGCCTTTATCAATCGGCCATTAAGCAACGACAGTTGATGAAATGAAATATTCCAAAGCATCGAAGACCTTTTTGAATAAGAAAAATCTTTTAATTTTGATTTGATTCATCAGTAGTTAGTCATATATAATGTATTATAGTGGCATTATAAGGTCAATTGGGCTCATTTTCCTATTGAGTTAGTAAGTAGATCGATATAATCTAGTTGCTTTGTTTAAAGGAAGGTTTTCCCATCATTGAATTTAAATCGACAAGGCTTTGCTGCTGAGACAATAACTGAACTATGTTGAGAAGTGGTAATTGTTCTATTTCTTTGGTTAGAAGGGTTGGTGTTAGACGTTTAACTTTATCTACTACGTTATATGAACATAAGCACAATGTTTATCCTGCTCAGAAGTTGCGTATGGATGATTTGAATAAAAATGTATTGAAGGCTAAATATGCTGTGAGAGGTTCAATTCCTTTGAGAGCTGAGGAATTAAAGCTTTATTTAGAGGCTGGTCAAAAATTACCTTTTGATACTGTGATCAATGCTAATATTGGTAATCCTCAACAGTTGAAACAAAAACCATTGACTTTTTACAGACAGGTTTTGTCTATTTTACAATACCCAGAATTATTAGAATCCGGTTCAAATATTTTCAAGAAAGATGCAATTGAACGTGCAAGAAAGTTATTAAAGGAAATTGGTTCTGTTGGCTCGTATTCTTCTTCTCAAGGTATCCCAGCTATCAGAAAAACCGTTGCTAATTTTATTACAAAGAGAGATGATGGTGAAATTTCTACTCCTAATGACATTTTTTTGACCGCTGGTGCTTCTTCTGCTGTTGATTATCTATTATCAATTCTATGTAAAAATGAAAAAAGTGGTGTATTAATCCCAATCCCACAATACCCACTTTATACTGCAACATTAGCTTTGAACAATGCTCATGCTCTTCCATATTATTTAGATGAATCAAAAGGTTGGTCTACGGACATTAATGAAATCGAAGAAGTCATTAATGATTCTCTTGACAAGGGCATTAAACCAACTGCATTGGTTATCATCAACCCAGGTAACCCTACTGGTTCAATCTTATCTGTTGAATCAATGGAAAAAATCATTGAAGTTGCTGCCACTCATGGTATAGTTATTATTGCCGATGAAGTCTATCAAGAAAACGTCTTCAACAATGCTAAGTTCCATTCTATGAAGAAGGTTCTAAGAAATTTACAAAAAGCATTTCCTGGTGAGTATGATACTGTTCAATTAGCCTCTTTACATTCTACTTCTAAAGGTGTTTCTGGTGAATGTGGTCAAAGGGGTGGTTACATGGAATTGACCGGTTTCAATCCAGAAATTAAGCAAGTAATTCTAAAATTATGTTCTATTTCTCTATGTCCAGTTGTTACCGGCCAAGCTTTAGTTGACTTGATGGTTTCCCCACCTCAAAAGGGAGATGAATCTTACGAACAAGATCAATTGGAACGTTCAACTATTTTAAATGATTTATCAAACAGAGCAATCTTATTATGGGAAGCATTCAACTCAATGGAAGGTGTTTCATGTCAAAAACCTGAAGGTGCAATGTACTTATTTCCAAAAATCGATTTGCCATTCAAAGTATTACAGAAATCTCAAGAACTTGACATTACACCTGATGAATTTTACTGTAAAGCATTACTAGAAGCAACCGGTATCTGTACAGTTCCTGGTTCAGGATTTGGACAACAACCGGGTACCTACCACTTAAGAACAACATTCTTAGCCCCTGGTACTGAATGGATTGATCGTTGGAACAAATTCCATGCTGAATTTTACGACAAATATCGTGATTAGGTGGTTATATTAGATTTATATAAATTATATATTCAACAATTTTAATTTGTTAGTGTGTTAATCGGGTTCTCATAATATTCATATCCTACTGGTTCTATATTTTTTTCATCTATTACAGGTGTTGAGGTTAAGTTGTCTTCTAAATATATTTCACTCTTCCCATTATCCAAGACGATCATATTATGAGGAAATGTCTCGTCAATAACAGTATTTTTTTTAGATTTATATTTTATAGAGCATTCTGAAATACCACTGTTCAACAATAGATTAATAGGCATCCCCAATACCTTTCTATTCTTAAGGTTATTATGCAAATTTTTACCATATTTCAGGCACATACCCCAGTCACCCAGACATTCATCTTCATGCAACAATAATAATTGTTTCATCGTTTCTAGCCCATTATAATGGAAATAACTACTATTACCAATCCCAATACCTATTCTGAGATCATATTTTAGAGCAATCTTCTGGACCATGGCAATTAAGTCATTTCTATTAATGGTTGATGATTCGATGTAGATTGGTGTTTTTGTAATTGTAAAGAAATATGTTACCAAAGTTTGGGTTAATTCTTTAAACGCTGTCTTTTTTAATGGGTATAACCAGACATATCTTGAATAATAATCTCGAATATATAAAATATGTGAATATGTTCCTTCGATCAGTTTTTCATCTCCAAATGGTTTGAATATTTCAATATGGATCCTCTCAAATGGCAATAAACCTTCATAAACCTCATTTTTCTTTGACTTTTTCAAAGGTTTTACATGTTCACTAGGATTACAAAATGAACAATAAAGCAGTGAAATTCTTGTTATTGTTCTTGAAATATTTGCATATCGCTTGTGCAAATTTCTATGTACTGACTTATGGGCAGCATGCTCATTAATCAAATGTGTACATAGCACTACTTCTAAAACTTTATTTGGTGGACAAAGGATTTTATCATCATTTCTTCGATCACGCACTGTAGTTCCCTTATCACTAACATAATATCTATTCTTCAAGAAATAGTACTTTTCATTAGATTTGTTAGCCCATTTGACTTTTTCTCTTGAGACTTTCTTAGGAGTCAATTTATCAGTTAGTATTAAGTCATATATACGCTGGCTTAAATAACCATTAATAGTACTTTGAAATTTTGCGAGATCTTGATGTCCTCGATTAAACAATTCCTTATTCAACCCAGATTCACTTATAAGCTCATCTAAATTCTTTATTTCTGGCAATACCAATTCTTTAAGATGCGAACGAGGAAGAGATATAGCCGGTTCCTCATCATCGATCTTGCTTTTGTCCTTACTCTTGCTCCTGCTCTTCTTCAATTCAGTTAAATTTGGTACTATGCCTACTGCTCCATTTTTTTCTTTCAAACTCTTGCTTTTTTGAACAGATCTTGTATTAATTCTCATATTTAGAATAACTGGACACCCAATATTTTCTTTAACGCAACACAATTGTTTGATGATTATAATAATTTATCAAAACTCAACCTTAATTCTTCTAAATCTCAGTTCCTCTTATACAAACCCAAACTTCAACCAAGAAAAAATAACCAAATAATTCAAACCAAAAGACCAAAAACTAATATACACACTTTACCGATAGCTATCCAATCCCACTTGAATCTTTGTTAAACATCATTAGAACATGCTTTAACATCTTGAAAGTACTTTCAATTTTTCATCTTTTTAATATTTAAGATATCGAATGCCAAAATTAAAAAAGCCTTTAAATATTTTAGAAAGATCAATACCTCATCACATTAGTTAATTATAAAGATAATTTGATTGTTTAAATCTAGAGAAAGACATTCTATAGTATATCAATTAGGGGTGTTGATGACTATTTTTTAATATTGGTTGTTTTAAAGTTGTCATATCATTTTATGGTTGGTTGGAGGGGATTATAGAAAGAACCTAAAAACATAATTATACTCATATTTCATTAAGTTATGGAGGTTGATAGTCAGTTTGCTAGTATCTCATTAGGGAGAGAAAAGTATTTTAGTTGGGTTTTTTTAGCATATTGGGTTTTAACATGTATTGCATCATTGACCGTCATTTTTTATCTCCCTAGAGTGTTTGGTGCTATATTCACATTTATATTGCACTGGTCAATATGGAAGAAATATAAAGTTAAAATTAATATTGAATCCATAAGGGTTTCCTTTTTGGGTGGTACAGTATTTATTAAGAATATGTCTATTATAAATCAAGACTTTACACTATCTTTTTTGGAGTGTCGAATAAAGTGGCGATATTGGTTACTGAATTCAAGAGAAGTAGAGTATAAAGTGCAAGCAAATTTGTCTTCAGAACAAAGCCAAGGGTCAGATGCATCAAACTCAATGACTATAGAGAAAAATTCAAAATTGCCCTGTACAATATTAATCGAATGTAAAGGATTCGAAGTATTCGTTTATAATAGAAAAGCTGCATACGAAAATGTATTGAGATTATTCACAAAAGAAGAAAGAGAAAAATTTAGTAGTTTCTTAAATGAACATGATTTAGGTGATATCGTTAGTGAAGATACGAATGTCAATTCAATGGATAAAGATTATTTCGAATCAGTAACCACTGAAAATAGTTCAGAATCAACAGTAATAAATGATAGAACCTATAAAAAAAATAAAGATGAAAGGAAATCAATTCTTTTTAATTTTTTACCTATCCAGTTAAGATTAATACATGGTGCTGTAACATTAGGTAACCGATTCACCCCTTCCCTAGTTGTAGCAAGTTATGAAAATTGTAATGGTGTTTTAGATGTCTCCCATGCAAATGAAAAAATAGATTTATATAAATCAAAAGTTACCATGAAATTTCAGGACGTTAACATATCTGTTAAACCAAATTTGGCATATGATTCTGAATTTACCAATGAATTAGATATTGATAAAGGTAAGTTATCAAGAATTTGGAATACTTTTATCGATATAATGGACATGATACCCAATCCTTTCACTAAAATATACCATAAACATATGAAGAAAAAAGAGCATGATGTTGAAAGTATGTTTGTAAACAAATGGAGAGGTCTATCTCTTTACAAGGATAATCTACGAGATGCTGGTCGTTATGGTTTGGATGAAGCCTCTTATGATTTTCTAAATAGGGAATATGCAAAATTCAGTTCAATTTTAAAATGTCCTAACTTTACGTTATCATACTATTTAGATTCTCCTGGTATAGTCCCTCATGGTGCACACCAGACAAACGTCAAGAAAGATGGCCCAGATATTGGAAATAGTGGTAGTCCTCCAGAATTTTTAGTGGATTTACAGGTCTCAAAAGCATCAATTTACTACGGTCCATGGACAAATAGGCAGGTTTCCTATTTAATTAGAATGCTTTCACCTGTAGTATCTAAGAACCAAATACCAATTAAGAAATTAGAACCTGGGTCTAGGCGGATTCATACAGTTTTCAAAATGTCAGTTCATATTATTGACGAATCATCTTGGAGAATACCAACTAGAGAACCAAGCAAAGATAAAGAATTTATAAAACAATTTGTAAAAACAAATGACGATTTTAGGCCGTTTGGATGGCTTGATTTCAATCTGAACAAAGGTACACAAGCGACTTTTAATTTTTCATTAATTCCAACTATAGACGGACTTGGAAATAACTTTGATATTCATTTCCTTGATATGGAAGTAACAACAAGTGTCAATCATGACATATTACTGAAGAGTAAAGAGTTTGATGTTGTAGCAGATATTGGTTACCCTTTAGGGTGGAATAGTCAGGCAGATTGGAAATTTGATATTATTGCTAAACAGTTAGAAACATTCTTATTGAAGGAGCATATTTCGCTATTCAGTGACATGTTTTCCGATTTTGCCTCAGAAGACCCAACACCTTACGAACTTTTCAGACCATTCACGTATTCCCTTAATTGGGATATCGAAGGCTATTCTATTTATTTAAATGTAAATGACAGAAATATTGTGAATAATCCTTTGGACTTTAATGAGAATTGTTATCTATCCCTACATGGAGATGAATTACACATTGATTCTTTAATACCAAATTTATTAATTTCCCAACCTTATACTGAAATAGCCTTTAATATTTATACTCCAATGTTTCGCTTATTGTTAAATACACCGCCATGGAATACTTTAAGTGAATTTATGAAGGATAAAGAAGTAGGACGAGCTTTTGATTTTGGGATTGAAGGCTCATATTTAATATATTCAGATCTGGACATAGATAACGTGGATACAATAACAATGGAATGTACAAGCAGATCTACCACTTTGTTTTGCTATGGTGTAGTTATCAGATACCTCATGAATGTACAGGCCAATTACTTTGGTGATTTTGTTCATTTCATAACATCTGAAGAATATTCAGAAATTTTGCAAAAGAACAATAAACGCTCAAATGATGAACAGGGTAGTTTCACTTATTCCACAACTAGTTCTGTCCAAAATTCGTCCAGTGACGACACTGTTTTATATACAAAGGAGCAAGATTTATCCAAGCCACATGTTCGTAGGGCTGATGTCCTCCGTACAGAAAATGAGTTAGACATTTGGTTCACATTTAGAGTTTGGGATGGTGCGTTAATTTTACCGGAAGGTTTATACAACGGTAATTTATGTTCTTCACTATTATTTTCTGAGTTAATGATAAGTTTTAGAGGATCTAATTATTACATGGATTTTCTGACAAATTTGTATGATATGAAGATAAATCGATTTCTCAATTTTTCCCCTGATGAGATCTTCAGATATGTCCGAGATCCAGATCATAATTTAAATATAGTACATGGAACACTTTCAGATGTTACTATTCACGCTCATAGAATGTTTGGTCTTCCTCCAAACAAATTGACTTATTTTTGTCAATGGAGCATTGATTTTGGCTCATTGATTATTGATTCTAATATCGAGTTTCTATCTAGCTTTTTCGGTTTATTTACAAAACTAGGGTTCGGTTATAGTAACCTTGAGAACAAGTTGGTATATAAAGTTGAATCGTCCGATGACATGACATTACTAACTTTATATGGTGAAAAAGTTCTTATTTTGGTTTCCGATGATGTTTCCCAAAAGCAAGCTTCTTTGGAAATACTTAAGCTAAAACTGAACTCAATCGATTTTCAAAACGAAAGATATTCAAAGAGAATAAATTTGAAAATACCGGAGTTTTCCATTTCTATTTTCGATGTAAGAAATCCCACAATAAAGCCAATATTACTCGGATTCAAAACAAAAATTGACTTCACCAATTTTGTGATAAAAGAAGATTTCAGAAATTCACTTAATGGCCAAAGAACATATATTACTTTACATGATTCCCCTTATCACAGGTGTTTTTTTATTTTGCCGACGATGTACCAAGAGTCATTCCTTTATAATGAGCTCTATGGTGGCATCACTCCATCATTTTCAATTCCTATATTACCAATTCCAATGCTACCAAACACAATTGATTTCCTAGTTGAAGACTTTTTGAAAGAGTATTCAGATTTACTTGAAAACCCTTTTTTAAACATCAGATCTATCAATAATTTAGATACGAGTTCTTTATTTAATGAGTATCGCGTTGATACTTATATATCTGAAAAGGCTATTTTTAAAGCTGAAGAGAAAAACACTGTCAATTATGACCCTAAATATGAATATGATAACTACATTTTAAATGTGGAATACATAAGGGTTGATATAAATCCGTTATTTTCTGATTTTATCGACAGTATGTCTACAAAATTGTATTCAGAAAACATGGTTGACATTATTGATGAAATAGAAATGATCATTGTGAGAAGACTAGGTAGTCCGAAAAAAGTATTATTAAGAGAAACAAATCTGAAGTTGAAAATTTCCTATGTAGATATATTTTGGGGATCTCGTAATTCTGAAGGAATTGAAATATATTTGGATAAGTTAGATTTTGAGATGAGACAAAGGATATTCGATGATTTTAATCAACGAAGTTTAGAAGAGAGAACAATATTAAGTAAGTTGAAATCCTTAAGGTGCAGCTTTTCTGAAACGCAATACGAAGAAATTGAATATGAAAGACCACCTGCCCTTTCTCTAACAGTAGAAGGTTTGGAAGTTTGGTCATGTACCAATACTGCACAGAGTAATTCAATTAATATTTTATCGACAGATATAACGGTAGATGGATCTCAAACAAGCTGGCTAATCAAATACTTGAATAAACAGGTGGAATTTTTTTATAATTTGAAAGGTTCAGTTGATTTATTACAGAAACGTGATGTTACCTTACAAAAATCCTTGATATCCAAATTAACTACCGCAAGTGAATATTATCAGATTGATCATGATCCATATGTCATAACAAAACCAGCTTTGATTATGCGTTTATCAAATAGCCATGTTAGAGAAAATAGAAGTTGGAGAATTGTAACCAGGTTACGGCATATTCTGAATTATTTGCCGGAAGGTTGGGAAAAATCAAGTATTGCTTTCGTTGAAGCCAGGCATGTCTATTCTGATAGTGACCCCAAAAATGTATTTCTATCAGTTTTTTCAAATTGGAGGAATTGGGAAGTCTCCGATGTGGCGCGTTCTTATATCTATAGAAGAGTATTTTTACCTGATATTGAAAAGAATCTAATTAATAACACAACAAAGATCGGTATGGAGTCATTTTATTTTACTATTTATAGTCAAAGATATGCTGTTGATCATAATATTGTAGTAACAAGAATAAACGTTATTATAGATCAAATGTTATCCGACGAGGAGCCGAAAGCTGCAACTGCAAATAAAAATGATAAGATATATGATATAACTGGTACAGTTGGGACTTTTAAAGGTGAACTTGGTGATCAATTAATAAGATTAAAGAAATTATACTCAGAAGATAAGGCAAAAATTAGGAGTGAGAAGTCAACGGATTTTTCAATTCCAAAATTTTTCAAAATTAATATTGTCCTTATAGTTGAGAAAGGAGAACTCACATTAGCTGCAGCTAATACAAAGCTTATATCTCGTATTAAAAATGGAAAAATATCAGGTTTTTTTGAAAATGCCAGAGATGTCGCGAATGCATCTGGTTCAATTGTCTATTACGCGACAAGAACTGAATTGTGGTTAAAACACAACGAATTAATTCTTTTGGATGCACATCTAGATGATTTATTCATATCAGTAATTGCCGAGCTTTTGGTGAAAAAACCAACAATTTTAGTGAATGTTAAATCGTCACATTTGCGTTTTAAAGCATTGCCCAATACAAAGAATTTAGTGGTATTTTTGCGTGAATTCGAGAGAGAAATAAGTAAAATTACAGGGCGTCTTACAGACAAAGACAATAAAAAGAGACATACATCAACTTCCCCGATATTTTCAACCAAGAAAATTGATATTTCATTTGACATCAATATATTTGATATTAGTAGCGAGATTGTGATACTGTCTCCATTTACTGTAAAACATTCAATGAAAGAATTAAAAATTGTTTTTAATAGAGAAGGTGATAATGATACCATATTCAGTATATTGGATGCCGATTTATATTTAACTTCGTACCAAAATGGTGTACAATATTTCCGTCTTTCCTATCAAGATATTAATTTAGAGGCCATGCTTACTGATAGCAAATCAAAGTTAATAACCATAAATATCGTGACATCTTTAATAAAACTGACACTGGCGGATCCAAAGAAAATTACAAACAGTTTACTTCAAGACGAAAAAACATTTGAGCAAAGTTTGGAATCAATAAAGACTTTAAACACACTTTTTTCTTCTAATAGAGAAGTTAGAACCAGTGCTGTTGATAATCCGTATAAATTTATGGTTAACTTTGATTTAACGTATTTTGGTTTGTTGTTTCCTGTTGATACATCATATTTCATTTTAGAATTGCATTCATTGCTTGCAACATTTAGTAATGTCTATATGAATCCACAACAGCTAAAAGAAAAGATTACTTGTAATTTAGCCCTCCAAAATACATTGTTCATGATCAAGAGTCCTGAAGTTAATAACCAAGTATCAAAGGTCCTTGACTTTTCAGTTAATTTATCAACTGAAACAAAAATATTAAACTCTAAAAGGTCATTTGAGGTGGAAAGTTCGCACTTTAGAGTATGTTTAAATCCTGAATCATTACTCAAAATTTTGCAGGGTGTATTTCAGACGTCATCTTCATTTAAGTACTACAAGGAGCATACTAGATTACAAATTTTTAAAACGAAGAAAAAGGCTTCAGTGGTGTCTGAAAACCTAATAGGCGCTCCATTGATTGAATATTCAATACATTTTCTATCCTATAATTTTTGTATTGGTTGGATATTTGAAAATTCGCAATCTAGTTATCCTGGTTTAATAATGGGTTATGATAGACTTTTCTCAGCTTATGAAGATTCATATGGGAAACTAACAGTAGTGGATGGTTTCTTCTCTATTGCTAATGGATTTTCTTCAGACACATTTTACTCTCAAGGAAATGAAAAAGAAAAATATAATAGAAGTTACCTGCCAAATTTACAAATTTTGTACTGGTTAAAGGAAGTTGATGCTATGAAGCAGTTGTTTGTTAGATTTTATGGTGAAACTATTGATGTGAGATTTTTATCAAACTTTGCTACGATAATTAATTTGACAATCGAGTCAGTGCAACATTTTCAAATGATCAAGAAGGAAACAGTACGAGAGATGAATGTTGAAGCAGAAAAGAAAGTTGGAGAAGATGATATATCTACAAAGTTCTCGCTATTTTTTTCAAAAGTCCAAAGAATTAACTGTCAATGTATTTATGATGGGGGTGTTTTCACAGTCTATCCTGTTCGTGGTAACCATATTGATACAGAACATGCAATTGAAATAACAACACCAAAGGTTATTATTGATGTAGATTACAAATACCGTATTGATATGAAAAAACCACATTGGATCAGATCTTTTATAAATATCGAGCCTACATACAATACGTTGCTTTCTCAGTTTGCATCATTTTTAACTGAATTTGGGGAGAGTGTACATGAGATGGTAGCAAAATTCAGTCCTAAGGAGCAACCTCCTGCACCCAAAACTGTTTCACCGCCTATAGATTATAAAAGAATTTTGGAAGATTTCGATGTTTCATTTAGCATTTCAGCAGGTAAACAAAAGGTCAGCTTGAGTTGTGAACCTGTTGCCAAAGTTCATGCTAATGTTGGATTTGAATCTTTTGTTTTTAGTATTATCACGAATGATGATGATCCAACAGAACCTTTATCATGCTCATTGACTGTTAATGATATTAAAACATCTATCAATCATGAATTTTCAACAGAACCAACAGCGTCGTTCTCTGTTGACTTTGTAGATATTACAACCTTATTTACACATCCTGATATTTATGGTACCACTCTAATCTCCGATGTTAGCCTTTATTTTAATATTAAACAGCTACAGAATTTAATGGTGTTCCTTGATATTTGGAATTTGAAGAGATTGATTAAACTAAGACCTCAAAAGAGTGTACCAGTTAAGAAACCAGAAAGCAGGGTTTCCTCATCAACGAAGTCAAGCTCAAATACTACCATCATCCCTTGGTCATTTACTGTCATTATTACAGATATTAACGGTGATATCCACCTGGGTCCATCATTAGGTAATTTATCGTTGAAGCTAAAGAAAAATTGGATTTCAACAAATCATTTCCAAGACAGAAGAAAGGCACTACGTTTTTTTACTGATAGTTTGTCGTTAACATCTGTTGGTAGACTTGGTGGTTTAATTGATGTTGCAAATATTAGTTGGATATTGAATGTCAGATATGTGGAAAATGAAAAATTAGACCAATCTCCATTAGTTGATATTACTTTGAATGTTGAAAATGTAGCAGTAAAGGCTGCATTTGATTATCATATGTTCTTAATTGGTAGGGTTCATAATATTTTATTCAACTTGGAGAGTGAAAAAGATTTGATCGGAAACCTACCAGATTTATTAAAATTACATTTGGTCTGCGATGAAATAGATATATGTTCAACTGCTTTGGTAGCATCCAATATCTTAGACATCTCCAATACAATTTCAAGAACAAGACAAGATAGTAGAAATTCTTATATTGAAACTTTATTGGAATCAAACCCACCACCTCAGAAATCTTCTATATCTTATACTGATATATTGAAGTCATTAAATCTATTACGAACTGACGTTGGAATCGAAATCCACAAGATGCAAGTACAAATATCCCCAATTTCATTATTTGATGTTGAAGTAATTGTCACGACTGTTGAAAATGTTTCAGCAAGATCGGTAACTCAATCTGGTGAAAAGTTGATGACAGATCTTCAAATGAAGATTTATAAAGCTACTCTATCACTATCTAAATCTAATGAAGAATTAGATGAGGAAGCTGTTTCAGAAATATCCGTAGATGATTATATGATATATGCCATGAAGCTTTCTGGTGGAAAGATTTTAAGTATTCCTAAATTATTTGTAGGTATGACAACATGGCAACTTGAAAATAGCAAGATCATCGAATATCTATTTGCCTGTAAATTTCATGATAAAATATCGGTAAGGTGGAACTTAGGACCAGTAAACTTTATAAAAGAAGTATGGGCAACACATGTCAAATCATTGGCTGTTCGTAGAGCTCAATTAAAGGGTGATAAAGAGCCACAGCTAGTACCGGGGATTATTGGAGAACCATCTCCTTTAGTTTCATCAGAAGAATTAGAAATGTTGAGATCAGAATCTTCAAATGCTGATAATGATAATAATGAATACAGTGAGGAAGATAAATTTATATATGTTCCACTCAAGGAGCCACAAATTGAAATGCCTAAAATCAAGGATCTTGAAGATGCCACACCACCGTTAGAATGGTTTGGTGTTAATAGAAAGAAGTTCCCTCGTGTTACGCACCAAACTGCAATAATTCTGATTCAAAAAATAGTTCACGTAGCTCAAAAGGAATATGCAAAAGTTTTAGGTGATTCCTAATAATAATACACTTTATAAACAATATATAAAATTATTTAATCTCTGTTAATGATATCATTATTTTGCAAAGTGGCACTTTTTGTTTGATTATTCGATTTATAAATACCAACCAATTGTTCAGCCAATTCAAACATGTTATTACGAAGAGAAATAACAATAAATTGCGCATTCTTTGTCCTTTCTTTGATATAATTAGCAACAATAGATACATTTCTAAAATCCAAAGCTGCATCTATTTCATCCATTACATATAAAGGCGTTGGCTTATATTTATGTAAAGCAAAAACAAGCGCCAATGAACTTAATGTTTTTTCACCACCAGAAAGATTTGTAATGTTACGCCAACTCTTTTTTGGAGGCATGACGCTAAAAGTAACACCTTCAGAGAATGGATCCAGACTATCAACTAGTTCAAGTTCTGCATTACCACCCATAGTGATCATTTGATACATTTCTTTTAATGTTATTGAGATTACGCCGAATCCTTGCATAAATTCTTCAAAACGAGTTTTCTTCAATTTATCTAATAATTCACGTACTTTTTCCCTCTCATCAACTGCATTGTTTAGATCTAGTTTTCTTCTTTTATATTCGGCCACTCTCCTAGCATATTCCTCCAAAACATCAATATTGACATTAACTGTGTCGATGTAGTCTTGTAATTGAAGTTTCTGAGCTTCTAGTTCTTCCACATCCACATTCTTAAATTCATCTTCCGAAATTCTTGGTATACCCTTTGATATTTCATTATTATCTTCATCTATTTCCATTTCTAAATCATTATTAGCATCTGGACTTACATCACTTTCATTAGTTTCTATCTCAACACCCTCCATATTTTCAGAATTTCCTAAGGAATTGTTTGCTGATACACTAACAGCATTGTCCTTCATCGATACGTCCTCTTCGTCTTGATCAATATTTCCATTATCTAACTCTTGTAATGTATGTGTGATATCTCTAATTTTTAGAGATTGTAGTTCAGAATCAGTACTTCTAATATCCTTCTTAATAAAATTTAATAAGTTATTAAGCTTCTCCTCCTTGTTTTGGTGTTCCAACTGAAAAACTTTAAACGAGTTGAGATTTTCTTCAAATTCCTTTAATTGATCCTTTAAATTTTCAGAGTTTTGTAAAGATTCTTCCCTAGAAAATTCTAATTCATGAAGTAAAGTCTCTGTCTCAGATAAAGATTTTGATATTTTAGACAATTGACCGTCTGTATTTTCAAGTTTATCCGTAGAAGTGAGTAAGTCGGTACTGCATTCAGATTGTTTCTTTGAAAGCCTCTTTAATTCGGTTTCTGCTTTCTTTAAATCATTCTTATCCTTCTTATGTTTTCCATTTAAAATATCCTTCTTTTGAATAATCGAGTCAACTTTTGAACTCTGAACTTGAAGTTTTATACCACCTACTTTCATTATTTCATCTTTTAAAAATTTAATCCTATCCTTTTTTGATTTTGTTTCTAATTGTAAAGACTTATAGTCATTTTGTAAAGTTCCTAATTCATGTTCCATTGTTGATAATTCTTCATTATTAGACATACATTCATCCAGAGATTGCTGCTTTTCATTTAATTGTTGTTGCATTAATTCATGTTCGGTTACCCAGGATGTGATTTCCAGTTCAAATTTTGAAATTTCAAGTTCAACATCTGGTTTTCTATCTTTCAATCTTCTTAATTCAGTTTCCATCTCGGTAAAAGTTTCATTAGCAATTTCAAAATTCTTCTCCCTTGCTGCCAATTCCTTTTCAATTTTTTCTACATCTTCAATAGTGTATGATTTAAACCCGCTGTTACCGCTCTTTGTCAATTTCATTAAACCTCTTGAAGTCTGAGTACCACCACCGCTCATTGTACCTGAAACATCAATCAATTCACCACTTAATGTCACTACTCTGAATCTTTTGTTACCATAGGCAACTCGATTAGCATCCTTTAAATTATTTACAACTAAAGTGTCTCTAAGCACACTATAGAATGCTGGCAAGAACTTAGGATCAGACGAAATTACTAAATCGAACAATCTTGGTACATTATTTGGAGTGCTGATTTTATTCATATCAAAATTTCTTAGTTTTTCTAACAAAATAAATCTGGCATAGCCAAGTTTGTTTTTCCTTAGATATTCTATACACTGTTGTCCACATTCAACAGTTTCAACTACTAAATCATTTAGTCTAGGACATGCTGTTGAAATTGCTATATCATATCTGTCGTCAATTGCACCAAGATCTCCGAGTCTTCCATAAAAACCGGAGATTCTACCTGACTTTTGTAATCTGAATAAGGATGCTAAAACTTGGTTCTTGTTTTCTTCTGCTGATAATGAAGTTCTGGCATCAATTGCTTTTTGTCTATGTTGATTTAAAACAGCTTTCATTTCCCGCAGTTTTTCCTTAGCATTTGTGTATTCTGTATCTCCGATAGAAACTTCTTTCGTTATTCTGTTTAGTTCATTTCTGAGAGAGCCAATTTCTTTTTCTCTTGAAATCTTTTCTTCAATTTTTACAGAAATTAAACTGTTAAGGTTCTCGATATCATTTTCAAGTTTAACTCTGCCTTCCTTAATTAATGATATTTCAGATTCTTTCACCTGGATTTGGGATTTCTTTCCTTGTAGCTGTAAATTCCATGGTTCGAGTTCTTTTTCATGTTGAGAAATTTCATCTGAAAATTCTATAGTCTTATCCTTTAATGATATTTTTATCTCTTCTAGGAGTCCCCTTTCAATTTGTAATTGTGCATTTAATTCATCGAGTTGACTTTCATATTCGGATTCATTTTTACCCAAATCTTCGATCTTTATTTTAGTATTAGAGATGGTTTTGTTACAATCTTCAAGTTCTTTCTCCATTTTCTTTTTCTTCTTCATAATATTTTTTCTTTGTTCTTCTAAAGAGACTCTTTCAGTATCATAATTCCTTTTCTGAATATTTAATTTCTTTTCTTGTTCTTGAGACGCTTTTATATTTTTTAACATTTCATGATAAGACTTAGAAATCTCATTCATCTGAATTTCTGTAGTTGAATGTTTTTTTTTAGTTTCTTCAAATTCCTCCTTTATATTGGATAATTTTTCCAAAGTTGTGCTCAATTTCTTATTGTCTTGCCATAGCTTATATTGGTATAATTTGGACTTTACCAATGTTAATTCTTTTTCCTTTTCGAGGAATTCTAGAGCTTCATCTTTACCACTCTCTAATGAAGCCTTTTCTCTATCTACAATTTCAAATCTATTTTCTTTTTCAATACAAATTTCATTCAATGCTTCTATTTCTTCGAACTTTTTTTCAATCAAGGGCTTGTATTTTGCGGTACCTATAATATCTTCTAAGTACTCTAATAAACCATCGTCACCGTCGTTTTCTGCCTTTGGTTTCATCTGAGCAATATTTTCAACTTCACCCTGTAAAATTAAAAATCTATTATGATCTAAATCTATTCCTTCATCTTTTAACAATTTAGTTACTGATGTATAATTGCTTTCTTTTCCATTAATATAATACTTCGATGTGTTGTTCTTAAAAGCTTTCCTAGTTATTACAAGTTTTTCCTTTACAGTATTAATAATTGTGGTCCCATCCGGTTTATCGATCACATATTCGAAATGTACCTCTACAGAACATGATTTTAGATCTGGGAAGTTTTCAGACTTATGAATCAAATCAGACAATCGATCTTGTCTCATTTTGCTAGCTCTAAACCCAAATACGAATAACATTGAATCAATGACATTAGATTTACCTGAACCATTTGGGCCAACTACGGCAGAAAAACTTGAATGGAATGGACCTACAACTTGAGTACCAGCATATGATTTGAAATCATGCAAAACCAATTTATCTATGCATAATCTTTCGATTTGTTTTTCATTCTTGGATTCATATATTTTTTGCAATGCTATCCTACTATTTTTAACTGGAGATAATTGAATCAATTCTAACTTTCTAGTTGGAGATCTAGCGGGTGACCTAGCAGGTGATCTTGGAGGTGACTGTGAATACGTTCTCGCTGTACGTCCTCTCGATGAGGATTCAGTTGGCGGATGTAAACTAGGTGCCTGTAATGAAGATGAGGGAGGCATTGCAGCGGTTGGTGTAATTGCAATTGAGTCATAATCACGTAAAATCAACTTCTTTGGAGTTTGAGACTTAAAATTCAAATGCGAAACAGCTGCCGCATCTTGTGTGGTAGGAGATACCTTGATTTCTTGCCTATTATACCTCTGATCATCATCATTGTGATCTAACTCATTCGCATTCAAATTTGCCTCTACAAGTTTGGGACGTTTACTCAACGGAGTCTTAGGCATTTCTATTACTATTATGCACAACTACTTTCTTCCTAAACCCTTAATGAGATGTGAGAACCTTCTTCTATCACTATTATATCAAACTAATTTCTTCAATTTATATCTTAAGCTATTCCATTTTTTGATTATGAAATATTTCAATATATCAAAAAGGTAAACATTGAAATATTTCGAGCTTCAAATGGAAAAAAAAAAAAAAAAAAAAAATGAATATTTTAAAGGCAGTGTTTAGATATAAGAGATGAGCAACAGATTTGGATGAATACATAGTGTAGATGTGAACTAAGTGCCAGATGACATTGTATTTGAGTAATGTGATGCATTGGTGTATGGATTGTTTTTGTTTGGTTATTTTAGGATAGTAAGATCTTGTTTTATTGAGAGATCATGCAAGTGAGAAATGTTGTAAATATGATTAAGTTTCTTTCTTGAATTGTAATTTAATGTAACGTAACGAGGACAACTTTTTGGCTGTACAATTGTGTGTCTCTTTGATTAAGTATTGAATGTTAGCTATTCTGGCAAGCATTGCTTCCTCTATTTTTTGTAGATCATATCAAGAGGAAGCCATAAACGCTTTGAAAAGTTTCAGATCGATCGATATTTAAAATAGATCATTTGACAAAAGAACGATTGATAATGGTTAAACGTATTAATAGAAAGCATGTTTTGGTTTGCCAAGAGTAGGGTTATATAAGAACATCAACGTTATTATGAATCATTATATTGGTGTTGATGTGGGTACTGGTTCAGTTAGAGCCTGTGTCATTAATGATAAAGGGGAAATTTTATCCCTTAGATCAAAGGATATTACTAAAGAAGAGTTGAAACCTAATTATATCACTCAATCATCTAGGGAAATTTGGCAATGCATTTGTGAGTGTGTGAATTATGTTTTACAAGAGTCGCAGATAATTCCTAGTTCTGTTTTGGGAATTGGTTTTGATGCAACTTGTTCCTTGGTTGTGATCGATAAGGAAACCCAACAAGAAGTAGGTGTTGGCCCTAATTTTGAAGATGACAACAGGAATATCATTTTATGGATGGATCATAGGGCTGTCAAAGAGACTGATGAAATCAATGCCACTGGTGATAAATGTCTAAAGTACGTTGGTGGTAAAATGTCGGTAGAAATGGAGCTTCCAAAGATAAAATGGTTGAAGAACAACTTAGCTGATGGTGTATTCAGCAATTGTAAGTTCTTTGATTTGGTAGATTATTTGACTTACAAAGCTACTGATAAGGATGTTCGATCTTTTTCATCCACAGTTTGTAAACAAGGTTTATTACCATTGGGGGTTGAAGGTTCGGACATAGGCTGGTCCAAGGAATTCTTCACAAAGATTGATCTCGATGAGCTTTCAAGTGATAATTTTAGTGCAATTGGTGGAAGTATTCATTCCGAGCAACTAGAAAATAATATTCGTAGCGTAGGTGAATATGTGGGTCATTTGAGTGAAATATCTGCTAAGGAATTAGGTCTGCCAACAACCTGCATTGTTGGATCGGGGATCATTGATGCTTATGCAGGTTGGGTCGGAACAGTAGCGGCTAAAGTTGAAGAAATAGGTACCATCAACAACGATGACGATGCTAGTTCTAAATTGGATAGTTCCATTGGAAATTTAGCAGTGATTGCCGGTACTTCTACGTGCCATATTACTCTATCATCAAAGCCGATTTTCGTTAATGGAATCTGGGGACCATATAGAGATGTATTATCTCATAATTTTTGGTGTGCTGAAGGTGGACAAAGTTGTACAGGTGCTCTTCTTGAACATATATTGACCACACATCCAGCTTATCCAGAGTTGCATGAACAGTGTGAGAAACACTCTGTTGGGTCCTTTGAATTTTTGAATAATAGGCTAGCAGAGTTGCAAAAGGAGAATAGTGCTAGATCTATCATATCTTTGGGTAAACATTTTTTTCTATATGGAGACTATCATGGTAATAGGTCACCAATATCTGATGAGTCGATGAGAGCTGCAATTATAGGACAATCGATGGATACCTCCATAGATAGTTTAGCAATTATGTATTTAAGTGCATGTGAATTTATTTCACAACAATCAAGACAAATAATATCAGAACTTGTCAAAGCAGGCCATACCATCAAGAAGATATATATGTCTGGTGGACAAGCAAGAAACCAACTGTTGATGAGACTGTTGGCAGACTGTACTGGCCTTCCAGTTGTGATTCCAAGATATATTGATGCGTCAGTAATATTTGGTTCGGCAATATTGGGTGCAGTTGCAGTTGATGCATATAATATAAAGCATCTTGATGGTAATAAGAATTGGGATCACGGTAAAACATTATGGAACAAAATGTGTAAATTGACACCACCTGGAACTGTGATAAACCCGAATGCTGTCAATCATCCAGATCGTGTATTACTTAATGCAAAATACAAGATATTCCTTGATATGGCAGAAACTCAACGGAAATATAGAAGACAAATTGATGAAATCGAAGCGTCATTTAATGAGTAATGTATATTTATCCCTGTATCATCGTTTTTTAGGTGTTTTTTCTCTAATATATATTTTACACATACACGCCTATATATATATATAAATACTTTTCCCCAATTGGTATGTTTAATTATTTGCCAAGATTAGGTATTATTATTGAATCAGAAGCAATAAAAGGAAGGCACAAGATCCTGTCGATCCAATTGGGTTCGAATCACTCAATCACACTTCCACCCCCTGTCCCATCATCTCTCGAACAATCATTGCAATGAACAAAATCAATTGCTTTCAGTTTCATTCTTCAAATTCGAAATCGAAATCTCGAGAATTTAATGAAATCGATGATGTTGATATTTTACCGAATTAGGAAATTTACACGTTAAATATTCGAATCGAAATTAAAAGACAAGAACCAATAATAGAAATAGAATGTCGTATTAAAGTTTTAACTATAATAGGAATAAAGTTGATGGATGATCAATGATCGAGAACTAAGACTAGGATACGGAAACATATCTTATAATATTACTTCTATTTTGTGTTATTGAAAAACTTTTTAAAGGAGAAAGACAGAGAGGGCCAATCTATTGAAAGTTTAATTTACTAATATTGCAACACGAAAGTGTCGAAGTGTTATTAAATAAGGTATTTTCAAACGCAACAACTTATATATTTTAATACTTCTTTACTCGACTATATATATAAATTATTTGAGAAGGTAGAAGATTCTGTCAAGAAGTGTTGATTTAGTTAGTTCTATTTTTGCAAGGGATTCTCTGTTTTAGCAACTTAAGCTACTTTTTAATACATATACAGAATATTTTTCACAGATCTATTCAATCAAACTGTCATGTTGGCCACGATTGTACGACTGATAAGTTTAGGAATTATTGGTGTATCGCAGGCATCTCAATTGACTAATGTCAAGGACAGTTTAGGAATAAACACAGTGAACATACCACAAATAAATTTTGGAAATACAAATAATGAAATACAAATTTTAAGTAATATCGAAGGTTTAACATTTTATCAATACCAAGGTCAACAAAACTTTACAGGATCTATAGATACAAATTCAAATACACATGGGCTTATTTATTACTCTAATGATACATTAATAAAATTACTCGAAGGGTCCGACAATACAAAAATTGATCAAATAGTACCACTAGATGAAGATGCGTTTATTTTGAGTGGATCAGGAACCTTAGGTGGATTCCAACTTGAAAATCAATTATTATATAATTTATCAGACCTTTCAATTATTCCACTTTTTAATAATCAATTACAAAATATAAAATCAATTTTAGTTGACAAAGATATAGTATATTTTGGTGGGAACTTCAGTTATACTTCTAATAACAAAACGGCAAATTCTATTATTAGTTGGAATAAAGTTACTAAAAATGTAGACATGTTACCATTTATAGGTTTTGGTAAAAATTCTACTGTTAATTCAATATTGAAGTTGGACGAAGATAATCTATTATTTTTTGGTGACTTCAGTACTCTCGATGATAAGTCTTTATTGGTTTCAAATATTACTACCTATACCCAACAAAACTCAACCTCTTCGTCATCGACTGAAACAAATCTCGAATTGGAGCAACAAATTTCACTAAAATATGCAAGCTGGGCTTCATTAGGGGATTTGAAAAGTTCTACACAATTTATATGTCCCAATGGCCAAAATGAAGCATGGTCTTCAGCAGGAACAACAGGAGAAATTACTTGTAATTTAGCATTTGAAGCATCGCTTTCAAAAATTCGAATATTTAATTCCCCATATGAACAAGATCAAATTGCATCATTCCGTATTGTAACTGCACCTTCAAATGGTATCATGAACTTAACCTACCTTGATCCATTAACATCTGAAGTTAAATATTGTGATGCATTTTGTCCTTTGTATAGCTCTAACGCTTTGCAAGCCAGTTCTGAAAATGCAACAACATCTGCTTCTACATCTGCATTCATAAATGGTAATAAAACCAATATTGGATGGTCTACTGACTATCAGGAATTTGCATTTGTCAATCAGGTTCCAGTGACGGCACTCCAAGTAATAGCATTGACTTCTTATGGTGATAATGTTGGTCTTTCAGGTTTCCAATTATATCAGAATTCTTACTCAATATTTGCCAATAATTCTTTAAATGAGCCTGCTTGCGATTCACCAAATACAGTTATTCCCTCATCTTATTTGTCAAACAATATTTGGTATCAAGGTTTAAATTCACAAAGCTATATTGCAACAAAATATACTCCAGGAGATGATCCATCCCCTCTGGTAAATTTTTATCCCAGTATAAATCGTATTGGTAATTATACTGTCAACATATATACACCGGGTTGTACTGGAGATGGGACGTGTTCTTTTAGAGGAATTGTCAATGTGACCCTATGGGATACTGCAACAAATGACTTAATTTCAACAACCTTGATATATCAGAATAACAATGAAATGAAATATGATCAATTATTTGAAGGTTTTTTGGATTATGCACCCAAAGTAACTCTAGAATATTATTCTGGTATAAATGATGAGAATTCACCTGTTGTTGTTGTAGCCGACAATGTAGATTTGGTCCCAATAAACATCGAACTAGACGAAACTATAGGGAACGTCACATCTAGTACAGAAGAATTAAAAGTCCCATTGAATGGGATGTTTCAATACCAATTATCAAATTTTACTTCTTCGAATAACAATTCAACTTTGAAAGTTGATAATACTTCATTAAACCTATTTCCAGTTTCCAGGTTCAGCTCATCAGTTTCATTGTATGGTGTTGAGTATAATGAAACTCTCTTATTGGGGGGGTCTATAGCAGGAGTTTATGCACTTTCTCTATCGAACTATACGAATATTCGTTCAACAAGAATTGTTGAGACAGGAGGTGAAGTGACAGGCACTGGGGCCTATGCAGGTGGTGTGGTACTATTTGGGAATTTTAATATCTCGAATAGAATAGTTAGCTCTTTGTCATACAATGGTACTTTTGATTCTTTTGGTAATGTAAATTCAAATATTGCCACGTTCTCTAATTTGACATTTGGTGAGTCAGAGATATTAGCATTTAATAATGAATATTTTTTTAACACTTCAACTTCCAGCTATATTTTTAACACATCTGCTCTATCATTATCTATATGGTCAGCTGGTTCAAATGATTTTGGAGATACATTATTTTCTGGTTTGATAACTAGGAATGAGTTTCCAAATCTAAATAATTCAGCAGTCTTAACTGGAAATGGTACTGCCCAGTCACTACAATTAAGAAATGGGATTCAGCCGTATCTTGGTGTCTATCTGAATGATTCATTGACTGCATATTTGTATGATTCCTCTTCAAATAGTAATATTCTATTCAGCAATGGTTTGCAAGGTAACTGGAATTTACCTCGGAGTGTCTCATCTGCATATTACTCTGATAATGAAACAATGTTTGTTGGCAGTTCCTTAAGTAATGGTGATTCAGGAGCCGAGTTATTTGTATTAAATTTTACTACTATGGATCTACTATATAATGAAACTTTTGATGTGAATTCTTCAATTAATTCTATAGTTTCATTTGGAAGGAATTCCTCGTTGTTGGTTGGTGGTGATTTCACAGCTCCCAATACAAATTGTTCGAACCTATGTTTGCTTAACTTGGGAAATAACCAATGGTCCTCGTTTAGTAATAAATTCGATGGCACAATAACAGGATTAGAATTTGCCAATGACTCCCGTCTTTTAATATCTGGTTCATATCGATTTGAGAATCAATCTGGAATAAGTTTAGGGTATATTGATTTAAACAACCAGGAATTTAAATCATTATTATCGGATTCACAGAAGGTAAATTCCTTTAATTATAATAATGGGACAATTGTTGCGTGGGACAGTTCTACAATATATAGTTATCGTGGCGATTCCTGGAGTAATCATCAAATCCCAAATACAAATTCGTCAACATCTATCAAAAACGTACAAATTGTGTCCAAATTGAATAATTCGTTATCGACTAATAACACTTCAAACAATTTAAATGATGAACTCATTTTGGTTTTTGGTGAATTATATAGTGAAGATTATGGTTTTGTTCAAGCTATGTTTTATGACTTTCAAAATTGGATCCCTTATTACATCACACAACCTTATTCATCATTGAACACAAGTAAAAACAGTCTATTCATGAATAAAGACATTTCACTTCTGTATGAGTCCCAAGTAGTATTACAAAATCCTAATTCTACAATATCTATTAGTTCTACTTCTTCATCTTCAGCTACTACTAGGTCCAGTTCAACCTCTTCGACATCATTAAAGAATGGCAATATTGAAAGTAAGATACACCGTGGTTATGTTGTTTTAATTGGCCTTGCATTAGCCATAGGTACTGTTGCCATCTTAGGTATATTTGGTGTTACAATGGCATATATATTTAGTGATGACAAGGGAGAATATGTTCGTATTAAACCTCGTATAGATGAGCATGAGATGCTAGATACAGTACCTCCCGAAAAGTTAATGAAATTTATCTGACAGTTGTATTATTGCATGAACCTCTATCTAAATTATATAAATTATTATATAAAAATATTGTCAGATATATAATGCCCTTTTCATTTTATTTTAATGCATATATTCTCATATTATTCTCGATTACTGATTGGAAATATCTTTCTTTGTTTTTTTGATTTGTCATTAAACATGTTTGCATAAAATATTATTGTTTTTTATTTCCTTGTCTTTCTTCATTTAACTCGTCTTTAAGCTTTTGATAAATAAGTTCTGGTCTTTTTGAAAAGCTTAAATCGTCATAGATATATTCGACGTCACGTAAACACCAACTAACCTGCCTCCATTGTTTCTGTTCAGCCCATTTCTTGGCAGCTAGCAGACGGAAGAATGCTGCTTTCCTTTTCCTAGCCAAACCTTTAGAAACAATATCATCAGTTTGAAGTTGTTGTCCTCCCTCATTGTTCTCGATTTTTGTAACAGTTTCAACTCTATGCCTAATTCTAGGATCAGTTCTCATGTTATAGCAGTCACTCAATCTTTCCCAAATCATAATTTGAGAGCATATACCAAGTTTGCATTCAGCTAATATAGTTTCTAGATTACTTAAAGCATATGGGGTTGAGGTCCAAGTATCATTTAAGGAAAGGAATAGTTCCGATGTAAGGAGCATACATCTAGTTTCATATGACCTTACAGGTTCAGATAATAATTCGTCATTTTCTAGTGAATTTTGTGCTAATATTGAACATTGTTCATAAGTATCTAATGATCTTTCAATAAGTGGGTTTACATCATTTTTAATCATTTTGGCAGTTACAATGTTCTGCGCTCCCATAAGAATACTAATCGCACACCATTCCAAACATGATGCCAGATATTTTGGGTGTGCTTCAAGATCCGATATCAATGTTTCATATGTAGAATATGCAGTTTTAAAATCTGATATCATCATAGACCAATCAGCCAATTTTCTTAATAAGAATTCTGGAGATGAAGATGTAAAGTATTCATTTCCCCTTGAATCCTTTACTATATTATTGTATTGATTAGCTGTTTGACTAGATGATCTATTCATAAATTTGCGGAACAACTTATTCCCATGGAATAGAGATTTTCTTGGTTGCAATATGGTTTCTTCCCAGAATGATATTTTCCTTTGCATAAATGGTATCATTAAATCTACAACTAGTTTTTCCATTAAATCATATATAGTATTGATTAAATTTAAAGGTAATTCATGAACTGAAGGGCGTTCAAAGAAATATAGCATTTCATCTAATGAGGACATGGCAGGCTGGTGTAATTCAACTTGTACGTCTTCCGAATGGCTTTTATTCCATAATGGTAGCATCAAACTTTCTGCGAATAGTTGTTTCTTAAGTTTCTTAACTACATCTTGGCATATTTCTTTTTGTTCTTCTGAATCACCATCATAACATAATAAAAATACTAGTAGTATATCATTCGTACTCATAAAAGGTGGGAATTCTTCAACTGCGTTATTTTGGTTTTTGAATTTAATTAGAAGATCCCTTGCATCTTCATAATTCTGTCCCTTTGATATATCTAGGGCAACCAGGGATATAAGAGGATGGTTGAAGGACTCGTATGGAGATAAATATGTTGTAGACGAAATAGCTGAAGAGAAGAATCTATGAAATAAAGACATCTTCAATGCTTTATGATCTGTTTCGTCATTTGTATTTTTATCAATTAAAGACAAGCACTTCTCCAAATACACTTCTAATGAATGATAATCAAACAGCATATCATGTGAATCTCTACTATTTATCAAATCTTCTATGGGCTTGGTAAACCTAATATAATGCGATTGTGTCGAGTCTCTTTGGAATAAACTGTTAGATCTACTTCTTGAATATCTCTCCGATTTAGGAAGTTCTAAAGTATTTGAATTTCTTTGTTCTTCTATAATTTGATCATTCACCCCTTCTTGTGCAGTATTTTCAACATTTGCCTTCTTTACGTACTCGTTTGCTTGGTCTCTATCAGAAATACATCCTCCAAAATATCTCATCAACAAGTATAAAGAATCGATATTATAGCTATCTTGGACATGCTGATCAAGTTCAGAAGTGGACATTACCGTTATCACAGGTGCGATTGCATTGGAGACTATTCTTTTACTGATATCTTGAGGGACAGGTTCATTTACTCTATCTAAATGATAAACCAAATTCATATAATTCTCATAAGAAAACTGCAAGGAAGCCATCTCGTCACACACAGTCAATTTAACAGCAACTGAACACGTCTTCAAGCTAGTACTAGTCTTTTCCCTAACTCTAGCTTCCTTATTATATAAACTTTCTAGTTTATCATTAAATATGTCAAAACTTGTATGGATCAAATATTATTTCAATTACGAGTACTGCTTTTATTTCCGGAAATCAAAATTTCATATCTTAAAGTCATTACCAACTATGGTATAAATAAATAATGACAGTTAATCTAATTTATGAGGATGATTACAATGGAAGTATTAAGAAGATATGATTGTAATCAGTTAATTTGCTTGGTATTGAAGTGGTTATTTCCACTCTTCTAGAAAAATAATGGTTACATAACAGGCTCACTTTGGAATTATAAGTTAAATAGGTCAGTCTGAGATAAAAATGTTTTACAGAATATTAAGATCTTCTCGTTATGACTTCTTGAATTGGTGCATATTGTCCAGGCTTTGTTATATTTATTATTTATATATCTCAATTTTTGCTGATTGACACATTTTGGAAGAAGTTACGTAGTATATTTGTTTATAGGTACACACACATATATATATATGTGTGTGTGTGTGTGTGTGTGTGTGTGTATTCGTCTGAAGATAATTTGGATTTGATACATGAAGTCAATGCCTCCTTCTATCTAAAATTTGGATATTAATGGTTATTGGTTAGTACCCTCTTTATTAAAGAAGAAAAAAATTTTCGAAGAACTATAGTGTAAAAGCATTCTTATTTTCTGTCAGCAGGTCATAATTAATGACAGTGATCAGGATTGAGTTAAACTATTTTATCTATACAATGTTATATTGAACAAATAATAAAATTGCAAAAGTATAACTTGAGATATCAATTTTACAAGCCAAACGATATTAGAAACTTTAAATAGTATAAACCTGGCATTTCTTTTTGTACTTGGCTTAGACACTGATCATAAATACAGCTTCGTAGTAAGAGGTTAAGAGATATATTTCCATGTATATTGTAAGTTACAAATAAACCCTTAAATATATTAAATATCTCTTCAAAGAATAGTTACTTCAAAGAATAATTACTTTATTAATATTTGTTGATCATATAGGTTTATCAAGGTTATCTCAAAAACAAAAAAGAGTAAAGAGACATTTAGATCAAGCTTACAAACAGTGAACCTGGTCAATAATATAATGGATAACAAGGTGTGGCCATCATTTTATATCTTGGGTTTAATTTTTATATTGAACACGAAGTGACTATTATGTCAGATGAAATCGAAAGACTTGTCCTTATGCTTGAAAAACTTACATATACGTTAACTACACAATCGAAATTACTATTCTATTAGAAATTATTAAACACTTGGAACTTTTATATTTACCTTTTATATTTCATCTTAATTTTATATATCTTCATTGTGTAAGAGTCAACCGGTGTAATTCAGGCATCTACATTTACCCTTTAAGTGTCATTAAAGATAATTATATTGCGACAGGGACATAAGTTGCGACTTCCCCAGAGTTAGGCCATTTAATAATGGAAATGACTTTAAAATATATTTAATTACTGTTATTTATCTGTTAATAATGTTTTATACTTGTTCCTAAAATAGATAACGACATTTTGTCATTACTTCATTTTACATGTCAGTAAACATAGAATTTAGTTTTCCAAAGTTCACAAAATAGACTTCCTGCCTATTTGATATAAACTTAGAGGTGATATTTCTTGATTATAAGTCTTAAAAGTACCCAAAACTCTAGTTCAAACTGGGTAGTCATCATTTCAGTATAACCAGTTATTCAAATATGGGTATTAATGTTTGCGATGAAAATGCTCAGTTTAATCAGTATAATATATTTCATGGCAAAGCTGATGCCAGTAGAAGTCTAAAACTGAACTTACAAAAGACTAATAGAGGATTTCAAAGAAGAGATCTAAATTATCAGGAACCAATTGATAGTGAGTCATCTCTGAAACAAGTCGCAGCTCAACAAAAGATCCCTGATAATAAATTAAATTGGACGTTAGATTTTGATAAGTGTATAGGTGATTTGGGAACAATTAATTATGATTTCATTCCTGATTCACCATCTTTATATGGTGTTCTCTATCATAGTGAAAGAGATAAAATGTGCAAAATGTTAGACCACTCAATTGCCATGGAATTATCTGCAAATGTTTTTGTAGATTTTGATGAATCAAGCACTTTTGATTGTGTTCCATTTTATAAGTGCTATGATTACGAAAATAGGATAGAATTGGATGATCCATACGCAATTGTTAGTTCAATGATTGATTATGAAATGAAACATGAGAAACCAGTATTTCCACGAGAATTAGAATTTCAAGAATTGAAAAGCTTTTTAAGGTTCATACATATAATATTATATTACTTATTTGGAATAGATAGAACAGGTTATTATAAACTCAAAGACGAGAGAGATAGATTTCATTACAATATATCAAACGAATTGACAGCTAGCCTAAACTATAAAGATAAAACTGTAAATCTAATAAACCTGAATGTTCAAAATAGCGATTATCATTTTAATGAAAGTGATTTAAGTATCGATATTGTTGACGAAAAAAGTCAAACTAATAGTTCAGATGATGAGGAACTTGAAAATGGTGAAGGAGAGACGGCTTCCAGCGACATAGTGGATCAAAATTCATTTGATGTAAATGGAAGCATAATAGTTTAATGATTCACTTTGATTCCTAATAAACTTTCTAATATATATACAATTTATACTATTATCGATATACTTTAAACAAATCCATTTTATGAAAATGAAAACTATGGTAATTGAATCAAGAACAGAGCACTTGTATTAATATAGATAAAGCTTCCTTAATATGAGTTGAAACAAAAAAGGGCACTTTACTGATAAATTACGATAATAAATTATATTTATAACATGGCGTCAGATTGTAATAATGATCTAAAATAAAATAGAATAGTAAGGAATTAAGTCAAATACCTCACTTTAGAATCTAAAAACTTCATATTAGTTTTTAGTTTGGTAAAATATGCAAAT